GGGTCTCAACCCGAAACGTCAGCTTTCCTGCTCCTCTGATGCTGCTTGGCCTGCTGTGTTCATCCAGCTCTACACCTTGTTATCTCAGATTCTCCAGCATCGGCAGTTCCTACTATCTATTGTGGGGAAATGTAAGGTTAGATGCTGTGGCAGGAAAACCTAGGTGAATACTATTTAAACTGCAAAAGACTGCAGAAAGCTGCAGCTGTGATGGATTTTGACTTCCTTGTCCATGAATCTCAAAAAAATCAGCATCCAAGTTCAGTGGGTAATAGGGAAAGCAAATGGAACGATGGCCATTGTCTCAAAGGGATTGGAGTATAAAAATAGGGAGGTCTTCCTAAAACTATACAAGGCACTAGTCAGACCACGGCTGGAACGCTGTGAACAGTTCTTGGCCCCTTGTCCAAGGTAAGATACACTGGCATTGGAGCCAGTTCAGAGGTGGTTCACCACGGTGATCCTGGGCATGGAGGCCTGTCTTATGAAGAGTTTTGAGGAATGAGAGGTGACCAAATTAAAATATACAAGATTCTTAGGGTCTTGACAGGATGGATGTGGAAATGCTGTTACTGCTTTTGAGCAATTCTGGGACCTTAGGGTATCAGGTGTTCCCATTTCAAACAGAGATTAAGAGGAATTTCTTCTGAGGTTGGAGAAACTGGAATCCTTTACCATAGAGGGCTGTTGATGCTGGGTCATTATATTCAAGGCTTGTAGACAGATTGTTAATCGGTAAAGGAATAAAAGGTTTTGGGGAAAAGGTAAGAAAGTAGAGTTGAGTATTATCAGATCAGCTATGATCTCATTGAATGGCAGAGCAGACTCAGTGGGCCAAATGGCTACTGCTGCTCCTGCATCTAAATGGTCTTAGGTTGTTTTTCATATTCCTTAGGAGTCTTACATTTCTAACTCCAAGTTCAACCTGAACCTGTTCTTATGGAGAAAATGGTGGAAGTTCACACCCTTCTTTTCAACAGCTTATTGCAATATCAATAAATTTATAAACATGAGGTGCTTTTTCGTCTCAAGTTAAATCAGTATTTACCAATGCTGCTCCCATACCTCATGCTGTTAAACCTTGAGAAGTTGCTACACTTACTAATAAATGCATGTCCTTTAAGAATTCCAAATAAAACTACACCCATGGCAATGATTGCTGAAAACTCCTCCTGCTTTTGTTTGTACATTCTTACATTTTGCAACAATCTCACATTCATGAGTAGTTCAAAAAGGAAGATGTCTCAATAGGGAAGACTCTGTCTTAATAACAGCATCAGACTTTAATGTTCTTTGGAGTTTAAATTCTTTGGAATTAGCATTAGGGTCTCATCCAGACACAGTGGTACCAAAGCTTGTTAGCTTATAAGTACTATTTATGGTTCTATAGCAGTTCACAGGAATCTGATTGTTGAGACAAATCATTTAAATCTTGGATAGATACATTTCATTATGCCGCTTGATTGCCTCTGCCAGCTGTTGCCTAGAATATTGAAGAAGTGTTTCATTGTTTCTATGTTTGGTTTTCAAGGGCGTTTTTAAGGCCCAGTTCTAAGATGCAAGAAATGGTAGGATGCAATGTTTGGCAAATTTTGTTCATTACAACAGCCCTTCATCAGGAGCCATTTTTTGGCACTTTAAGTGTTGGTTTCTTTAAAGTTGAATGTGTTCTTGAAGAACTACTTATAGGACACAACCCTAAGAGACTGATGATTGATGCCTCAGATTATTAGTCACTTATAAACCAATCTCTTCTGATCTTGCTCAGCCAAGACCTTATGCATTAATGTTTACTTATCAGCGTTTAAATATTGGCTTAAGGTGAAGGTATTCTTACTATTTCTCATTATAAATAACATTTTAAATAACTGTCAATCCACCAGAGCCCAAGATTTGAAAATACTACAAAAGATATTATTTTTTAGTTAGAATCAAGTATTACCAATCATTAGTTCCTTTATAAATTAACAAAAATAATTCCAAAGATTTCAATGAGTGCCCTCATATCAAAGATATTTCAGCCTGCAGAGATGACGATTCTTGTGGGCAGGACTGGTTTTGAGTACAATGGTTTAAAACTGCCACCAAAGAGCATGAAAATTTGAGTAGCTGGAAACGTAAATCACGCTTAAATTTCTGTTTGCGCTGGTTACACTGATAGCGGGGGAATTTTGTCAAGATAACAATTCAATTGAGTGGAAACAATGCACACATCTTTCAAACTGGAGCCTATTTTAGGAGCTGTATCATCAAAAGTGGAAAATTTTCAAACCTGTCTTATGTTGTGCCAGGGACTAGGCTGATTATTTCAAGCTGAACATACATTGCTTCTGCATTTGCAGAGTTAACTTCAAGACCACAGCCAACCAATCCAGTATTGTTGACATTACAATAGTGCAATAGTGGGGACAGAGACCCTGCTTTCACAATGCTGAAGCAGTAAACCTTGATACCTACAGTTTGGTAACCTGATGTCTCACCGTGGTTGAAGCAGGTTCAAATGAAGCATTCAAAGGGCACTGGATGATAATTTGGTTTGAAATAGCGTGCAAGGATATGGGGAAAAGGCAGAAGAGTGGCACAAGGTAATAGAATTGGTGCAGGCAAAATGTGTTGTAACAACTGTGATACTTTGCATTTTTGTGAAGGGGCAGATGGCGCCTCAGTTTAACATCAGAGCAGTTTAAAATCAGAGTTAACGTTTCGGGTCCGGTGACCCGAAGGGGTTCTGAGGAAGGATCATCGGACCCGAAACGTTAACTCTGATTTTTTTCTTCACGGATGCTGCCAGACTTGCTGATCTTTTCCAGCAACTTGTTTTTGTTCTACTCAGTGTTATTCAGTTCCACATCACACCACACAATGCAGTTGGCCTGATGTTGGAAAATCTATGAAAATTAGACAGCACTATCATTCAATTTCAGTTAGTTGTAATGGGATCTATGAGCTTCCAAGCTCTTAAGGACTGAAGTGTGTTCATGAAATATTTATAATACAATAGTGATCAGATCTGCGTAAAATTCCTACATATGCCAATTTAAATCATTAACTGATTTACTCTGAATAGGTAAATTTTAAAATGACACCCACAGAAATATTAGATACAAATGGTACCCAGTCTTTTCTGAACAAACAGAAACATATTGCCCCTACAATCAAAAATATTTTACTCACTAAAAATATTCCTGTATATGATTTTATATTGCAAGTTGATTCTTTTGTATTATGTGAGCAAATTTCTTAATAGATTAGACTAAAAAAATGGTAGTGCAAGAATGAATATCCTGAAATCCCTTGCACTATTTTATTTCATAGCACATAGTAAAAGTAGCACAATCCACATAGGACACCAAAATCACTGGTTCTGAAATAACTTACACTTTTCTTCTTCACCTGCTAAGTGGGAAAGCAAGTCAAAACATTTTTTAAAACTTAGTTTAGAAAAAGAATTTTTGTATTTCTTCCAGTGTTCTGAGTGTCAATGACAAATTCAAGATTTGTTGCCTGCCCATATAGGAACATTGGTACAAGAGTAGGTCATACAGCCCCTCCAGCCTGTTGCAACATTCAAGGAGATCACAGCTGGTATATAGCCTAAATTCATATATCTTCACTTAAAAAAATACAATCCAGCTTGGTTTTAAAATTAACAACTGATCCAGCATCCATTGCCATTTGTGGAAGTAAGTTCCAAACTTCTACCCTTTGTGTGTAGACGTGCTTCCTAACATCTCTCCTGAATCGTCTGGCCCCAATTCTCGGGCTATGCTCCCTTGTTCTAGAATCCCCAACCAGTGGAAATAGTTTATCTTTATCTAGCCTGTCTTTTGCAGTTTAATATCTTGAGGACTTCGGTCGGATCACCCCATAACCTTCTAAATTGTAGAGAAAGTAGACCAAATTTATATAATCTCTCCTCATAACTTATCCCCTTAAATCCAGATATCATTTTTGTACTCCCTCCAAGGTCAGTATATCCTTCCTACAGTGTGGTGCCCAAATCTGCTCACATTATTCCAAATGGCATCTAACCAGGGTTTTGAATAGCTGCAGCATACCATATGCATTCTTGTACTCCAGCCCTCCAGATATAAAGGCCAACATCCCATTAACTTTCTTGATTATTTCCTGCACCGGTTCGTGACAGTTTAAAAAAAAAAACTTATGCACCTGAACCCCCATGTCTCTTTGGCCATCCACTGTATTTAACTTCACACCATCTAGAAAGTAGCCTGATCTATCACGTCTCAGTTTGAAATGGATTACTTCACACTTGTTTGCATTGAACTCCATCTGCCACAATTTTTCCTATTCACTTAGTCTGTCAATTTCCCTTTATAAGTTTATGCTTTTATCTAAACCGTCTACAATTCTGCCTAACATTGTATCATCAGAAAATTTGTATACATGACTTTCTATGCCATTATCCAAGTCATAAATAAATCATCGAGGCCCTAACACAGATCCTTATGGGACACCACTGGTCATTGTACCAATTTGATTAGCTACCCATTATCTCTACTGTCTGTCACCCGCCACCCAACCAATTTCTCAACCATTTCAATAATTTTCCCTCAATTCAATAGGCTTCTACCTTAGTTAACACTGTTGCACATGGGACTTGAACAAATACCTTCTGGAAGTCCATATACACAACATTCATAGACATTGTCCTGTCCACTACCCTAGTCACCTCTTCAAAAATTTCATTGAGGTTTATCAGGCATGACCTACTGGTTATGAATGCATGCTGGCTGTCCCCAGTGAACTGAAAATCTGAGATGTTCAGTTACTCCATTTTTGATTATATGACCCTGAGAAGGTGGTTATAAGCTGTTCCCTGAATTGTGAGAATCCACCTGGTTTGCAATGCAGATTGATGCTAACAATGTGGGTTCAATTTCTGTGGCAGTTACCACGACTCTTCTTCGCTTGCCCAAGGTGTGGTGACCCTCAGGTTAAACTACTGCCAGTTGCCTCTCTCTAATGAGAGCGCAGTGCTATGGTCTAGTAGGATTATGGTGACTTTACCCTTGTTAGGAAGGTAACTCCAGACCTTTCACCCAATGACATTGAAGGAACAGTTTGAAAAATGTTGTTGAAGGCAGCTATGTGAGTTGCTGTAGTAAATGATACACAATGCTATCATTGTGCATTGGTGCTGTAGGGGCTGAATGTTGAAGGTGGTGGATGTGGAGTCAATCAAGTGGGTTGCTTTGGCCTGGATGGTGTCATCCAGGCAAGTGGAGGGTATTCCATCAAACTCCTGACTTGTACCTTGTGGAAGGTTTGACATTCCTGGGTAGACAGCAGTGAGCCACAGAATTCTCAGCCTCAGTCCTGTCCTTAATGACAATATATGGCTGGGACAGTTCAGATTCTGGTCAATGGTAACCCTCAGGAGGATTCATTGGAGATCAAGGGAGATGGTTGTTGCCTGGCACCTCTGTGGCAAGAATACTAATTGCCATTTGTCAGTTTAGGACTTGATGTAGACCCAAACAGCTTCAGAATTTGAGGAGTTGAAAATGGTACTGATCATTGTGCAATCAATGAACTGGTCTACTTCCAACCTTACGATGGAGGATAGGTCTTTGACGAAGCAGCCAAAGATGCTTGGGCCGAGGATACTACCTTGAGAAACTCCTGCAGAGATATCCCAAGGCTGAAATGAATGGCCTCCAACAACCACAGCAATCTACACATAAGCCCTCTTTGTATTAATCCATTACTGAGTTCTTGGTCAGTCAAAAGAATGGTTGGAAAAAACTTGACCTGTTTTGAGAAAAGCAAATCTAAAGAAAGAAAAAACAGAATGGTTCTTTCAATGCCAAGCAATGGCTACAAAAAAAATCTATTTATATAGAAAAGAAAGCCCATGGATGAGCTAGCTCTAACTGTATTCTTTGAAAATAATGACAGTTAAAGTCATAGACAGTGATTAAACGATGTGTATGGAACCTCTCAAATTGAGGATGGCTGTACAGTAATAAGGGTCCAATGTTTTCAGAGCTTTATCAAAGTACTAGAAGAACAGATAATGAGATCACCTTCCCTCAGGTTCTGAGGCTATAACAACTGAGTGCCCATAAAACTGCATTGCCTCATGTTTGCCGAATAATGATGATGTTCAGTTTTTTGGGCAGTGTTGAGTGGGGACTGAAATTACATATACCCTCACTGAGTAATAGTGAGCACGATACTTCATTTTTTGCAGCTTGCTGGTAACTTGTGAACAGCTGAAGGAAGTTGCTGAAATACTTTGTGACTTTAATCAGTGATGTAGACAGGTGCTGCTGGAGGTCAAACCACTTTCTACTTATGTTTGAAAAGTTAATTTAAAAAAAAAAATCCCAGCTCATACTGTTTGCAGGTGTAATCTTGTTGTTGGAACATAATCACCTCAATTCATTCCTGAATTGTTCACCAGGAAGATCAGCATTGTTTGCCTGCCCCAAATTCACAAACATAACTGACTGGCTTGCCAAGATACTTCAGCAGGCACAGCAATCCAACAGCTTCATCATCACTTTTATTGCAATCAGATTTCAATGCATCTTCAGGGACTTTAAAAATGAAATTCAAACTTTCAAACAGCGGTGGGAGGTGAATTCATTACCTTTGGATCAGTGTGGGCCTCAGCTACTTAGCTGTTTTTACACTACAATGTTTTCACTTAGTACGTCATCGGATACTAGATGCATAGAGGTAAGGTGCATTCCGTACCAGTGGGATTGCACAGAGTATTGCGCCTGTTCCCTAAGAAGTTCATGCATAGGTCGAAAGGGTTTCTAACTCATTTCCTTAGAATCTATCAAACAAATCCTTCACGAAAGGTAGGAACACAGTAACGTAGTCAGAGGAATCAATGCAAATGGCTACTGAATAGATTGTTTCAAGGTTCAGTAGCGTCCAAGTATTTCATTCACCACAGAGAATTCTCATTATGTCCCTTTGTTTACAATGAAATTTCACAAAGCAAAGTACAAAATACGCACTTTGCTAAACAAAATTATTCACTACTTCTGTTACACTGAGTACTTTCTGCATCACTGCTCTGACCTGCTTTTGAGTATTTAATAAAGCTTAGCATGGTCCATTCACTCTGTATTTACTAAGGTCCAGAATTTACGCATTCAACGTCTGTACTTGTATCCTCATCTTCCTCCTCCTCATCCCCAAACGTCTGTTCTGATAAATGAGCAAAGCTGTGAGACTGAGCAGCGACCTGTGCGGCTAGAGCTGAGGTAAAGTGGAGGGCGACTGGCCCATGTCTTTCAGCAAGTCCCTGTTGAACAGTTGTCTGCAGCTGCTCAGATGCAGCTGGCTGTGAATTTTCTTGCTTTTGTATGGAACTGTCTGTAGTCTCTGAGCAGCAAGCCAAGCATCCATTTACAGTACCCGTTTGGAGAATGTCACTCAGATCAGCGCCTTTCCTACTAGCCAGATGTACATCAGTGCAGTCTGGACCTGTTGATCTCCAACATTCTTTGCTATCCGTCAAGCTGTCTAGTTGATTGGCGTCTACCCCTTGGGAGCAGTCATCACAAACCTTATGACCTTGTACATTTGCATCTGCCTCCTGACATTCCAGTGGGACTCCCTCCAGCTGCGTTAGGTCCGCAGATGAAATAGTTTTCAGTGCAGCTATGAAAGAAGTTTTGAAGCGTGACAGGGTTAGTTACATTCTTGCATTGCTATTTTTAACGCATTAATTCTTTATAAAGATCCCTTACTGATCATTTTATAGCATTAATGCTGCAAAATGTAGCTGTCCTATTCATCCATCACATCCCTTTTCTATATTTAATTACTCACACTGCAACTCTCACTTTATTTTAGCCACAGCTATGACAGCCATAGAAAAGAGTGGGACCCCACAGTAGCAATGAAATTAGATGCCCAATAATAGAATTTAGAGCCAGTGAAACAATTTATCTTCCAGTTTGGCCTCCTTCATTGCCGAAATGAAATCATATCAGCTGTGGCTCAGTAGGAAGCACTCTCACTTTTGAGATTAGGTGGACAAGGTTTCAAGTCCCACTTCAGACAGTTAAGTGCCCCTCCAGGTTAAAACTTCAGTGGGGTACCAAGAGATGGCTGCATTGTCTAATATGCTGTCTTTCCAATGAAACAACAGTATGCCCTCTCAGGTGCACATAAACAATTCTACAACGTTATTTGAGGATGATTGGAGGAGTTCTCCCTGGTGTCCTATAACTAACATCACTGAACAGCAAGTGAAAACAACTGTATCAATGCTAATCATTATTATTTATAATTGTGTTAGAATCACACAGAACAAGAAGAAAACAAGTGGGCCCATCCAGTTGTGCTGGCTTTTTGAAAGAGCCACTAAATTAGTTCTATTCCAGTAGTGATTGTAACAAGGTCAGCCAGGTGGACCTCACAGAATATGACTTTCCCTGATTTGAAATGTTAATCTGGTCCAATCAGGGAGCCCTGGCTGACAGGTAACAACAGGAGGGTGACATCCTGTTCACTTTGGGAGCTGGATATGAGGGAAGCTGGATCAGTGTCAAGGACTCTCCATGTGTAAATAAACGGTGATTGGTGACTGGATTTTGGCCTCATGGAGTTATTTCAATTCCCTGTCCATTTCTCCTAACCTACTTTTTTGTCATAATGTTCACTGCTTCAAATTTAGATTTCTCTACTAAAAAAAAAAGACATTTGTCTTGTTCCCAGGGTGTTGTTTGTGGAAGAACTATCTCAAGGATTGTAGTTGGTGAAATAGTCTCACCACCACCTTCTCAGGGCACCTGGGGACACTGCTTTAAATCTCACTACGATAGCCGGTAGAATTTAAATTCAGTTAACAAATCTGGGAATTGAAAGCTCATCTCAGTGATGGTGACCATGACAGCCACCATGTGTCAAAAACCCATCTGGTTCACCAATGCTTTTAGGGAAGGAACTCTGCCAATTCCTATTCCTTCTGGCCTACATGTGAATCCAGACCCACAGCCACAATATGGTTGACTCTTAACTTCTCTCTGAAATAGCAAGACAAGCAGTTCAAGGGCAGTAAGGAATGGACAACAAATGCTGGATGAAGGGTCTAGGCCCGAAACGTCAGCCTTCCTGCTCCTATGATGCTGCTTGGCCTGCTGTGTTCATCCAGCTCTACACCCTGTTACCGCAAATGCTGAACATGTCAGCAACATGCACATCCCATGCAAGAATAAAGAGTGACAACAACAACTATGTCAGCATTTTGTGTAACCCATAAATAATCCAACATGAGGAAGTGTTATTGCTCACCATGGTCATTGAAAAGTAGCTGTTTCCACTTTTGCCTCTCCAGCTCAGAGGCCTTGAACCCCAACACACTTTTCAGCTCCTGAAGCATTCTCCTGGATTCCTCCCTCTCTCGCCTCTCCTTCTCTCGTTCCTCTTGTGACAAGTAGTTCAGCAAGCCCCCTCCGAAATCTCCATCCAAATCAGATTCTTCTACATAAGCCTCAAGTTCCTGGAGTCAAAAGAGAGATAGAGAGAAACAGAGTATGACCAACTGGCAGATTTAAACATGAAGATCAAACAGACTTGCCAGAGTTTAGAAAAAATAAATAAATGTTCTAGTTGCACAAGCCGAGCTGATGTGTAGAAATTTGGCTCCAGCTTGCAAATGCAAATTTGTACATTTATAGGATTTGGCATACACAAGAGCGTAGGTTTAGTCTACTCTGAAATTTTCTGAGCGTGGGCTGTCGATTGCGAATTTACTGCCAGCCTCCACTCTCAAATATGTGAAGGTGAAGTAGCATTGCTGGTCTGCTTGCCTCAGAGTCCTCTGGCTTGTTTTAAACAAACAGCTTTGCACATACTTTCCATTCACCTGTTTTAAAAAGAAGCTCCAAGAACTGGGCAAGAGTTTAAAATAAACTGCACATGCTCTCCATGCTGATACATCTGTCAGCTTATTTGTATTCCCACAGTAGGGGAATGCTAATGAAGGACTGCCACCTAGCAAGGGATCCTGAATGCTGTGAGTGCCCCAGTGTGAACTAGCAGCAAAGATTAAATAAATATTAATCTCTAATGAATTCAGTGAACAGATAATAGAGATTTGTGTCAAATAGTTAAGGTAAAAGGACAAACAAGTTGTACATGTTAGTTGATCATGTGCTTTCAGGGCTCTTGTGGTACAGTGAAAGTGCCACTACCTCTGGGCCAGAAGGCTTGGGTTCACATCCCACCTGCTCCAGAGATGTGTAATAACAATTCTGAACAGCTTTATTAAAAATATCTGTTTATACACGGAGAAGAGATAGACATTTGTGATACTGTGATAGTGTCCCTACTTCTGGGTCAGAGGGTCTGGGTTCAAGACACATCAAAACATGTCTGAACAGGTTTATTTAAAAGAACATCTGGTCTCAGTAAAGGTGACCAATGAAGTCATTGTTGATAACTGTTGTAAAGACCTATCTGGCCCAGAAGATCCATAAAATCAGATTCCGTCTCAGGATGTGACAGTCTTTGAGATATGTCTAAACAGGTTGAAAAATATATATATACACAAAATATGTATTACACACATATACCCAAGTGGTTAAGGCAATAGTTTGCAAATCCACTGGGTCTCCCCAAGTATCGCTAAGTGCTTTTAACTACATTTCTCATCATTTATGACATTACTCACATGGCTACAGAATTAATTATTGGCTAATTGGAATTGTAAAAACTGCAATCAACACTGGGAAAATCTTATTTTAATTGACTTTTCATAGGAATATAAAGGGGAGACAGCTACGAATGTGCTGTCGGAAGACTGAGAGATTGTTAATAAACTATTAAGGCAAAGTTCTGTGTCTTGCTATCTGCTTCACCTTCAAGTTGGATCCTGTTAAAAATAAATACATTCACGTCAGGATATTCTATATATTAGTACTAGAGGTACAAGGAATACAAGATGTATATTTTCTGTCAAGTTGGTCAATAAGAAATTAATCCTACTGTTTAAAGGCTTTTAATTGAAAGTTGTTTTTGTAAAGCTATCAGATGTCACTTTTAGATGCAGCTGAGAGGTAGATATGAATCAATTAACATTTGAAGCAAAATTCATAATTATAAACTTTGGATAGGAATTTTCATGCAGGCCCTCTGGCTCTGTGCCATTAGTTCACACAATGTGGGACGTAAATAGAGTTTTAACCACACTTTCAATGCAACGACTTCAGTGGTGTAGGCACTTACTCTTCAGGAAATGAGTCTGTGCATACCTGGGCTCAAAGTTTTCTGGCAGCAGCTGGCTCTTCTTCTCCGAAGGCCATCAAACATCTGGGAATTTTCAGTGAGAGGGTAACCAATGGGAGAAAAGGTATCTCCAGGAGTAAAATTGACAAAATGAGTGATGGCAGAGGGGAAAAGGGAATGGGACAGAGGAAATGGGGAGGGGAAAGGGGATTGGGAAGGAGAGGAAGGAGAAAAGTGGGAGGGGAAGACTGCAAACGAAATATAAGGAGTGATAAGGGGAGCTGCAAAGGAGACAGAACAGTTTTAAACCTGTCAACAAAGAAACACTCACCTAACTGGGAGCCGAAAAAAACCCTAAAATAATTGAGGTAATGAATTTCTTGTACAAGATTGAGGAATCTCCAGTTTAAGGATGCAAAGCTTAATACAAATGGATGATGTTAAATGCTCCAGCTTTATGCATATGCTTTGGAAACACATGACCTATGATCCCAACAGTCTGAGAAGGTGTTTAGGGTGATGGCTTTTGTGTACAAAAATGGGTCATTTATTTTGGAAAAAAACACATCTGCTGTTAACTGATGCCTGTTCTCTTTTGAATACTGAGGTATTTAGAAAATTAATACTTTCCTTGTCTGGGTGGCTTTAAGTTTAATGGAGGGTTGACAATTATTGAGGATAATTTAAATTGTACTTTTGCATTCTTCCAAAGACCCCATATGTCAACCACAAGGTGGATTATTACTACACGACTGTATCACCTAATAAATAAATTCATGAAAATGTAAGAGCACCTGGAAACTAAAGTAAAACTCCTCATAACAAAAAACCCATTCATAGTCATACAGTCAGATAACTCAAGAAAATCTCAAGATGCCTTCTTAGGAAAAAGATATCTTGTTGTATGGTGCATACATGTTCTTACCTGTTCATCAGGGACTGGATCCTGATCTTCGATCTGTACAACAGACTTTGCTGACTGTTTCCAGATTGGAGGCAAATTTTTGTCCTGTACCATAGGTCTGCCTAAAACACCAAAAAAGGCAGTGGAAAAATGGTGTGTAAGTGTTCTATACCACCCATATCTGTAGAAGACATGGTTTAGAAGTGACTACAAAATGGTAGCAGGTTACATTTCAGATTATATGATTTCCAGTGACCTTATTTCTGAAACAGTAAAATTAGACCAGGAAGAAAAGTTCAATAAGGCCTGCATAAGCAGCACTGCTTAATGAAACTGCATCTACAAAATGCTGGTGATTACTAACACCATGATGGCTATGAAAAACTGCAGAAATCTAACTTGATTCCATACTGAAGGCAAACAAATATTTTGGAATTCTACTTTCACAGTTTCCCATATAAATTATATTTTTCATAGATTTCGTAGAAACCCTACAGTATGGAAACAGGTAATGTGGCCCAACAAGTCCACACCGACCCTCAGAGCATCCCACCCAGACCTATCCCCCATAACCCACCTAATCTACACATTCCTGAACACTATGGGCAATTTAGCATGGCCAATCCACGTAGCCTGCACGTCTTTGGACTGTGGGAGGAAACCAAAGCACCCGGAGGAAACCCATGCAGACACAGGGAAAACATGCAAACTCCACATGGACAGTCACCCAAGGGTGGAATCAAACCTGGGTCCCTGGTGCTGTGAGACAGCAGTGCTAACCACTGAGCCACCGTGCCGCTGTGCCGTCCCGTAAGGTCATTGCTTTTAGTAAATTGACTGTATGTAGCTGAGAAAATGTAATTCTGAGAACAAAGACTGTACTGTGCAGCGAGACAGGCATCACTGAACTGGTTTCAAGTTCAGTTTGCTTTTTGTGGCCACCAAAAATGGACTAAGAATGAAACACAGATTAGAGCGTCTGCAGAGGAAATGTAAACTTTAATTTATACTACACTGCTCCTGCTGTTATTGGATTGAAAAAATAAAACAAAAACACACTTTGTTGGTAAAGATCTCATTTAGCATTTTGGAAGCACTCTGGTTCTGTAATTTTTAAAAACCGCAGAGGTGGCCACTGCTGGCAAGGTCAGTATCTCTAGTCATCCTGACGAGCACATGATTTAGCTGAGCATTTTGAGGTGTATTTACACTGTTAGGTCATATCTACTCAATGTAACACCCAGTATTAACACTGCAAACAGACAAAACTGATCAAGTTTTGACCATTCTATATCTCAAATACTCCTGAAAATAAAATTATACTTTATACATATTGTAACTACAGCTGCTGACACTCACTTGTCTGTCATATTGCCAGACAGAATCCAGAATGCAATGGCCAATTTAAAGCAGAAGACAAAGCCAAATAAAGCAGGCTGTCTAATTATTTGAGTGCATCACATGAATATCACTGCTGCTCCAGACAATAAATCTCAAACAACACTTCTAATTGTCCATTATCTTTCAGCACAGACCGGGTACTTATCTTTCTTACAGCTTCCTTTGTACAGTATTCCTCATTGCTCATTTCCTCAAGAGACTTAAATAAGGAATGTCTGGGGAAAACTGTGCCCTTTCACCTCCAGAGAACAAAGTTCAATCCAGCCCAGACTTCTGGGATGAAAGTCTTCTCTCTCTTAAAAACTGTTAAAGATTTTATGTGGACTTGGAACAGCCTCAACTCAGTTCCTGACAGGCTTAGGTCAAAAGTATGTGAGGATATTTGCCATTAGCCTCAAGCAGATATAATGCAGGAATATGCATGGAAACATCTCATTGTTGCTGATGAGGTTGCCTTCTGTGCCTGAAGTTGAGACACCATGTCAAAACCACTGAGGAACAAACTAACCTGACCACCAGCACCAGAAGCTAGAAACTGATTTTCAAATGTTAAAGTGGTGCTTAATTCACCATTGACTTCTCCTACCTCAATGAGCAAATAAGTCATTCAAAATAATTACAATTATTTTAAGGTATCAAAGTGATAAATCAATTATGGGGTTTAAATAGTCCTTTCCCAACTCATCTGTCCCCTAACAGTTTCAGAAGTCACTCAACACCAGGTTATAGACCAACAGGTTTATTTAAATCACACAAGCTTTTGGAGCACAACCCCTTTGTCAGGTGCAGTGAGAGCAGAGCACACAGACCCGGAGTTTATAGGCAGAGAGATCAAGGGCAGGGAGGTCAAAAGATTGTACAACTTGTGTGAGTGGAATGTCAGATGATAAGTCGCTGCAGGTGACCAGGAGCGTTAGTCGGTGAGTAAAATGTCAACAGCTGAATAACGAATGAAGGGATGATCTATTATTCGATTAAGCGAGGCAGAGAGTTAATTACAAAAAAACCGTAACGACCTCATCAGAAGATGGACACAGCATATGACCGATAGAGTACACTTCGTCATCCAGTACTTCCCCAGAGCAGAGAAACTACGCCATGTCATGTTGAAGGCTGCAAAGAACATCGATAATGATGAGCATCTGGCCAAGATCCTCCCTACTCCTCCACTTCTTGCCTTCGAACAACTGCCAAACCTTAAACAGACCGTTGTTCGAAGCAAACTTCCCAGCCTTCAGGATAACATCGACCACACCACGACATAATCCTGCCATGGCAACCTCTGCAAGACGTGTTAGATCATCAACATGGATGCAACCATCACACACGGGAACATCACCCACTATGTACACAGCATATACTCATGTGACTCAGCAAATGCTCTCTATCTCATACGCTGCAGGCAAGGATGCCCCGAGGCATGGTATATTGGCAAAACCAAGATGCTACAACAACGGATGAATGGACTACTCACAACAATAGTCAGATAGAAATGTTCCCTCCCAGTCAGGGAACACTTCAGCGGTCAAGGGCATTCAGGATCCAATCTTTGGTTAAGCGTCCTCCAAGGCAGACATTGTGATACACAATAATGCAGAATCGCCGAGCAGAGACTGATAGTCAAGTTTCATACCCATGAAGACAGCCTCAACCGTGATCTTGGGCTCATGTTGCACTACAGGTGACACCACAATATTGTTCTGTATCTGTAAAATCTTCCTTACTTTCTGGTTTTGACAGCATCACCTTGATAAATTGTTATGATCTCGCTACCTTAACTAGTTTGTACAGTTTTGAATTCAACATGCGATTCCAGTCATTGAGTTTGTCTCCAGCACCACTTTATTTTAATTTTTTGTAATTATCTCTCTGCCTCACTTAATCGGATTATAGGTCATCTTTTTCGCTGGTTATTCAGCTGTTGACACTTTAACACTCCGGGTCACTTGCAGAGACTTATCATCTGACACTCCACTCACACCAGTTGTCTGATCTTTTGATCTCTCTGCCCTTGATGTCTCTGCCCATAACTTCTGGGTCTGTGTGCTCTGCTCTCTCATTGCACTTGACAAAGGGGCTGCGCTCTGAAAGCTTGTGTGATTTCAAATAAACCTGTTGGGCTAGAATCTGGTGTCATGTGACTTCTGACTTTGTCCACTCCAGTTCAACGCCGGCACCTCCACACCCTAACAGTTTGGTGGGATTGTTTATGAGATAAATCCACCCAAAGTTACTTTAAAATTATAAGAGCCAAATCAGAGATTCCTAATAGTAGAAGACCAATTTAGTATTAGCAGAATTAAATAGATTGGGAAGTACTTCGGAGTGATCAACATGTGTAATGAACTCCCAGACACAGTGGTAGTGAAAACATTGAAATTATTTAAAGTCTATTTTGACTGTAATGGTTGAAAGGGCCAGGGGAACTTTTAGGGTCATTATATTAGTTACAATTGAGTCGCTGACTAATAACTTGATTCTGAAGCAATATAGCAAGCTACTCAGTTGAGTAAAACCATTCAGACTGTGGTGATTCATGAAGGCAAAGAAACTTTGAATGCTGACCTTGCCAGCAACACTCACAACCCAAAAATACTTTCTTTTATTTCATGCTCCTCGATAAACAAACACTCTTCCACACAATTTTCAAAAAAACAATTCACCATTTTGTCATGTGTGCATCAATTGAAGCAAGATAAACAAAAGAATCACCACATGCATTACCCTAAACTAAGCGGAGGCTTGCTTGAGGAGAATTCTTTTTAAAGACTTCCCTTGCCAGCATTTCTTTGTGAATGAGAATCTTTTTCAGGCTCTCCCACTAGATGTAATCTGCTTTTTTCCCATGTTCATTCTGAGAGTCAGTACAGAATTTCTACTCGGACTACGGAATTGTTTTTGTTTCTCGCTATTCCACAGAAGTGCCATGTTTGAATTGAGTTATTAAATTGGGTTTATTGTCACATGTACTCACATAACTACCGTGAAAAGTTTACAGGGCACCACCTTTGGGTCCATCTTAGGTATAAAGGTACCTAGGTACAAAATCTTAAGATACAAAGCAGAAAGGTAAGGAAATTAAAGTTAAAAAGTTAAATATTACAGTCCTTCTTACTAAAAAGTGGAAAAACAAAAAGTCAACACCACAGTCCATAAGCGCCTGGCCATGCTGAGTGTGCACTCGTCACAAGGGCTTGAGACCCCCAGCTTCGGGTTAAACCTTGCCCCCCTCTGCCGCGCCAGGCTGCCTGTTCCCGCACTCCCATCGGAGTCATGCTTTGGACCGCAAAGATGCCATGATGTTGCTGACTGCCAGAGCTCTGCCCAGGCACACCAGCCACCTCACGGCCAACCACCAAAGCCCCAAGCTGCTGCCTCCACAACTGAACTTCCTATAGGAAGTAAGTAGAGAGAAGAAAAACTAAAACAAACTGAAGGAAAAAAGAAAGAATAAATCAAGAAAAGTAGTAAGAAAAGAGGTCAGAGAAGACAAGCTCTGGATCAGAAGCCCTCCTCCTCCTCCATCTTAGGAATGAAAACTGGTTTAGACTGTTTAGACTAGGGGTTTTCAGGTTTAAGACCCAGAAGTTGACAAAACTGACTCCGGCAGCCAATCTACACTGAGCAGAATCCACATTTCTTTGAATTGGCTCCAGTTACAGAGCATCACCTGTATTACATTGACCCAAGCCATTTAAGGATGGCCTGTTTTGGGTTGTTTCCCAATGCGAATGGGAATAGAATACCTTGGCTATTTCAACTTCTGCCTTTTATAAAGTTGACGAAAGATGAAAGAATTCTATGTCATGAATCTGTTCTGACCCACACATTAATAAAGGAAGGTGAAAGACACATGAATAAAACAGGTACTAGCAAGAAATGCAAAGGCAGAGAGAGGAACAGGAGACCTTATTGCCCCTCAAGACCATGCATCACCATTAAATTAGATTATGGTTGTTCTTTTCTAAATTCTGAAATTATACTACAGGCCACCCAACAATCAGAGGAAGATGGAGAACAGATATGGAGGCAAATAACTGAAAAGATGCGAGGGGAATAGGGTTATAGTGGTAGTAGATTTCAACTTTGCTAATATTAACTGGGATTACCATTGTGTGAAAGGATTAGATGGTTGGAATATTTAAAGTGCATCTAGGATTTTTGTGCCAGTACGTAGATAACCTTCCTAGAGATGAAGCACTGCTAGACCTAATCCTAGGGAATAAAGCCAGCCAAGTGATTTAAATTTCAGTGGGAGAGCATTTTGGGGGTAGTGATCATAACTCCAAGTTTCAAAGTCATTATAGAAAGGGATTAGGATAGTGTGAAGTTAAGTACCTGAACAGGGGAAGGCCAATTTCAATATCATTAGACAGGACCTGGCAAACACAGACTGGGAGCTGCTACTTGCAGTTAAGTCTATATTTGGAATGGGAGTCTTTTAAAAGTAATAGAGTGAGAATTCAGGGCCATCTTGTTCCTCTAAGATTGAAGGGCAAGGGCAGGAAATCCAAGGACCTCTAGGTGTCAAGGGATACTGAGAGTTTGATGAAGAAAAAGGATCACATTAAAAAGAGAGGCCCTACAAAAATACAGGGTGCACAGGGAGTTGTTTATAAAAGCAGTGAGGAAGCTAAACAGGGTCCACAGAATATCTCTGGCAAATAAGAGTAAGGAAAAACCCAAGACATTTTAGAACTAGATTTTATAAAGAAGTGGATTATCAGGGAGAGAGTAGAGCCTATTAGAGATCAAAGGGGGAATCTGTACATGGAGCAAGAGGATGTGGGTGAGGACATTAAAACAACATTTCTCATCTGTATTCACAAAGGAGAAAGTCATTGTAGCCAAGGATTTCAGTTGTGATGGTGAGGTTCTAGAGCGTGTTAAGAATAATGAAGAGGAATTACACGTTTCAGTTGGCATAAAGCTGAATAAATTCCCAAGCCCTGATGAGATGTATCCTAGGCTGCTATGCGGGGGATAAGAGAGGAGATTGCTGGAGCCCTGGCAGAGATATTTACTATTTTGCTGGCCACAGGTGAAGTACCAGATGTCTGGATGACAGCTAATGTAGCCCCTTTGTTCAAGAAGGGCAGCAGTGATAGGCTAGATAATTACAGACCAGTCTGACGTCAGTGGTAGTGAAATTACTGGAAAAAAATTCTGAGGGACAGAAGTAATCAACACTTGGAAAGACAGGGATTGATCAGGGATAGCAGCACGGATTTGTTAAAGGGAGATCCTATCTGACTAATTTAATTGAGTTTTTTGAGAAGGTAACTAAATATTTGATGAGGGTAGTGCAGTTGATATGGTTACATGAACTTCAGTAGGGCCTTTGACAAGGCCCAACATGGGATCCAAGCTGGCAAACTGAATCCAAAATAGTGCATCAACATCTCTGAAGTTGGGAAGAGACAGAAAACTGTCGACGCTGTCAAACTCTCAAAACAGGAGAATACTGAGAGGATGCAACTAAGAGCCCATGGGATCCAAAGCAAGTTGGCTCCACATAACACCTATGATTCTCCTGTGAACCTCCATTAATGGCATATGAATAATGAACGAGAAGGATTTCAGAACAGCAAGGAGAGAACAGGTTTATTGGCAGTGGGGTGACATTTTTCAACAGATAATTTGACTTTTTAAAGAAGAAACTTAGAAAGGCCTCAATTCCAATCTTACAAGCTATTTTCTCATTAAAAGTAAAAAGCAATTTTTACAATAGGGAGAAGGGAACTCAGATAGACAAGGCAGTGGCATTAAGTGATGCCCTGACACAAGGTGCGGGTAAGGACAGTATTTAACTTTGAATGTAGAACTTTCTTTTGCAGACTGTCACTTTGCAGACTGTTCTTGCTGAATACTGAAGTCATTTGCAACTGAACTGTCTTTTAGTTCACAAAAATACAACGTTAGAGCTGCACTTTACTGGCACGGAAACAATTGTCAGTAGCTGAAGTGGAATGATGTTAGTTCTGTTGTTTACAGACAACCAGGGATGATGACACATGCTGAACTCACACACAGCTAGTGTTGTAGTTTTAAACTAACTGTCAAGCAGATTGAATAGGATTTCAACCACAGTCATTTGGAAGACCATTATTCATACCTATTAACTTGGCAAACTCATTACACACATTCTACTATAGAATATTGTCAATGGCTTAAAAAAATTGTAAGTTACTAATTCTAAACATTAGCTTCCTGCTTTGTCTCAATGCATGCAGCAACAATGCATTTCAGTAACAATCCTCATTTTTTGTAAGTGCCTTTAACAAAAAAAAAGTCTAAATAAAAAGCATGAACAAATAGGCAGAATAAAATGTACAGCGAACCAGGAAGGGATAAATCAAGATTGTAATTATAATTTGCTTGAAGAGTTGGCCTTTGAGAAGGCTTTTTTAGACCGGAGAGGGGTGGAGTATTTTAGGCAGGAAGTGACCAAGAGTAGGACAAAAAATAGCAGAGAGTTATGCCTTATTCTACATACATTAAATGCATAGCCATCCTTGCAGTCTGGAGTGCTTCTTATTTTTATACTATTACCTTTACGGTCCAGAGACTTGTGAACTAGTTTATCCACCTGATTACTTGTCTCATCCCAACAATTTATGCTCGCCCCCATATGTGGTTGAATTGATTTAAGTTTCTGATGCAGATCATGATACACTTCCTGTGTCAGTTTATGCTGTTCCTGGGATTCGTGGAGCTTTTCCAGATAATCCTCTAAAGAAATAACCCTGTGTATCAGGAAGGCATTATGAATGCATTTTGTTACACATTTACAAACCCAAAACAGCTCATAAGACAATAAGACAATAATTGTAGCAATTAAGTTATGAGCGTAAAAGGTACTATGATTTACATGCAGAGTTTTTTTTCCTTATTTTGAATTCTTCAGAATACTAACAAATACAAACTGAACAAATTGCAGAAAGCTTAAAACATTTTCAGATAGACTAAGTTTTGATCCAAACAATGGATTCTGAGGTTCCATTATTATAGAATATTGGAGGATGTATTATCGTAGAATACTGCATCAAGTTAATCAACACAGATTTACAAGCAGACAATGATACCATGTAATATTGACACAACACAGTATTTCTGTTAAATGCATGAACTTACTCATTTAGTAGTGCTTTAAGGTGGAGTTGCAAACTACGAACCACAGCATAAAGATTCTTCAGCTCCCTTGATTGTTGTTTGGTCTTGTTTGATGCTTTTAAATTAGATTGGTGCTGTACCTGCCAGTATCTGTGGAAGTCATAGCTGCGTTTCAACTCTTCAAGGCAATTTGTAAGGATATGAGATATATTCTGGGTTACTTCTGCAACGACATGGTGCGCCAAGTGCTCTGCAGTAACATGGGACTTGGGTGCAGCCTGGACAGGAGATAGTAGGAAAGCCAGGCGTCTGAAGAACTCGGAGCTTTGACCCACCCAAAGCTGAAACAGTACCTGTATGCAGAATGAGTTAAACTTCAGACTATTATTAAACATGGAAAGATCCACCAAAATTAATACAGACATTATTTAGTGGACTGTATATCTGAATTATTTTGCTGAAGTCATTCAAGCAACATTACAGTGATAATCATTTTAAAAGGTGAAGTCCCATAATTGCCACTGTAAAGAACAGTTACCCTAAAGTGAAGAATTTTTATCTACCCCATTGCTTCCAGGCACAGCTAGGTCCTGAACTACGTGTTTGAAACTTATATGAACAATGTAAACAAATGTGTCAAATTTATTCCATTTGAAACAATTATAATTCAGCAACTGCACACATGTAGGATCATTACAGAATGGGTTCATCAGAAATTACACTATTGCTTCCCGTCTTGTATTATATTTGTGAGATGTTGTAGTGTTTTTTCCCTTGCTTTCCTCTCTGAAGGTGATAGAAGTGTGGGCACATGTGCTGTCTTCTGATTCTCTCTTCCTATGGGTTAATTACTTGACCCAATTACTTGGCTTCTTTCATTGTTGACACCAGGAAAGCTTGGAGGGACAAACCCAGGTATTGCAATTTCAGAGCACAGGCTGCTGGGAATTCCAGCTTGCTGCATCAATGAGTCCAGGCACTTATAAATGAGTAGATGAAAAGTAGTCCAAAGATATGCAGGTAAGGTGGATTGCCCATGCTAAAATGCCTATAGTGTCCAGGGATGTGTAGGTTAGGTAGATTGGCCATGGAAAATGCAGTGTTGTGGGGATTGGGGGTGTCTGGGTGGAATGCTCTTTGGAGGGTTGGTGCGACTCGATGGGCTGAATGGCATGGTTCCACACTGTTGGGATTCGATGATTCTAAGTGCTGAAGTAACTAGTTGGCAGCACAACAGGATAAGCAATCAACACAGTGCCACTGAAAACAGTGCCAATGGTGTTATGGACGAGGCCAAATGCCCTCAAAATATTTTAAGATGGCCAGACTCCAACTTTTTCATGTTTTTAAAGGCACATTTAAGGCATTGTGTTCCGGATGTAATTTGATGGTCAGGCTACCAGGGCCTGAAGCAAAACACACTTTATTCTTACCATACAGTTAAACAAAACAAACAAGAATTGGAATAACAACTCTACTGTAATTCTTAACAGAATAATAGATTATTTAACTTAACAGCAACTATTCTAATATAGTAACATCACAGAAACACACCGTTGCAAAGGTAAACTCAGTAAAATAGGTTATCTCACATGCAATTCTCTAGTCCAGGAGGAAAGAACATCAAGAGAAAACTCAGAGAACTGAAGCATTTTGCTGTAGCACAGATAGATGTATAGCAGCTTCCAAATCATAACAGCTAATGAAAGTTAAACTAAAGTCCTGGTTCTGTGGGAGCTTGACCCCATCTCTTCAGCCGCTTCTATTGTTCTAACTTTAAGAAAACCCGCAGCCTCACAAATTGTCCACTTTATTGGCTTGGAACAACTATTCTGCACCTCTGTTTTAACCTCTTTGCATAAGGAAAGACCAGGACACAATACACCTCTTAAAGCCATAGGTATCGTCACTGTTGAAAGAAAATACCATTGATAAAAGTCATATCTGTGATATTAAAGATGCTTTTACTCTGGAGATAAAATAGCCAATTCTCCATTAAGGTTAATCTGTTTGAAGGAACCTTTGATTGGAAGACATTTCTACTACACACTGCATTGCCTTTAGAGCACAAAGAGAGGCCGTATAGGCCATGTGGCCCATTGGGTCTTTTCTGGTGAATGTGCTCCACTTGAGATACATCCTGTCTGACTTCAACTGATTCATTGTTCCTTCATGTGGTTATCTAAATTCCCATAAAATTCATGTTGTAGTGAACTTAATAAACATTAATATATAAGTGTTTTACTTTTGTTAAGTATAACATGTCTTCTCCACCTTACATTGTAATGCTTCATACCTTTAAGGCCTTGAGGCTGTAACAATCCGTCAGCTCCTGGGCCTCGTCATCAGATATCAGCTCCTTGTCGAGTCCCATGCCAAGCTCGTTATATGGGATTGCAGAGAGGTAATTGGTCACATTATCAATTTCAGAGTTCAGAGGGTAGGTTTAATAATAATTAAGGCATTATAACAAGTCATTGTCAGCCTACAAACTGTTCTGTGAGCCAGATTCATGTCTTATCAGAGTAAATAAACAAATCAAAGCAAAATATTCTGACTTGGCCTACTTAGATCAATTTATGCACAGCATGTTCTTTGGAACAAAAGTTAAAAATATTATCAGAAAAAAATCAAAATACTGCATGATTTAGACAATTGGATTACGATAGAAAGTGAAATTAACTGACAACTGAAACTAAACTCCGTACAAACATTTTGTTTTTTAAACGTGCATGGGTCTAAATTAAAGAGAATAGAGTTAAGGCATAATTAGTAAATCTCAGTACAAGGTTTTAAACAAAATAGCGATTTGCAATTTTTTTTTAAGGTTGTGTACATGGAGTAAAATATCACTTATAAAACAGGAAAATACTTGCTTTTGTCACTCTTCTATAATTTGTAGTAGGCTAATGAAACTGGAGGAATACGTCGATTTAAAAGACTTGATTTCTTAGAAACCGATTTCCTTTGGCAGTCTTTTAACCTTAAGACAAAGAGCACAAGAACGAGGAGCAGGAATAGGCTATTCAGCTCCTACAACCCGTTTGCACAGATCATGGCACATCTGATCATGGCCTCAATTTCATTTTTGTAATAGTTGTGGTTTAACATCACCCACATAAATTTTTAGGAAAACCTGGAGCTGAACAGCTGACTTTAGGATATTCAAAAACTGAAACACAAATATGTATACAAAACCAATGAAAATATGGACACTGAAACATCAGAAACAACCTTAAAAACTCTTCATTATGAACTCTGCCAAGGCAGAATATTGAATTTTATTAACATTGAACTATTTGATCATGGTTTTATATAGTTAAATAAGACAATTCTAATATTCTGAAGTTTCTGTCACATCCTTGAGGTCCTCCAGACAAGTTAAGGGCTAATAAGAAACTTTTGCAACAATGCACTACATTTGGAATAACCACCAGCAGTAACAAGATATCTGGGTCAGTTTCAGCATAATCTTTATTCCAGTCAAAGATGCCAAATATAAAATGTTAGACACAGATGGTAAATTCCATTTCAATTCTTATTAGATTTTTACTTCCCTACAATCTTTAAGGTCACCACACTGCAACTCTTGGTGCTAACAATCTTAAGTGTCATTCTGAACGACATAGTTATAGTGTCAAAATTCTGGCACTGCCAATTTAACATCATTGTGGGAATTGAGTTTAAAGTCTGACAACAGGAATTGGATTGGGATTAACCATGTATGTGTTGACTTTTATATGAGATGTCATTGGATTTGAGAATCTTCACAGCATGTGGCTAATAGTTAAAGGACTGCAGTGGTTCAAAGAGAGAGTTTCCCTTTCATCCCATCATCGTTAAGGTGAGGAGGATAGTCAATAAATGTGGCCTTGCCCGTGACACCCACATTCCCAATAATTAATAATTCAAAAATACACTGCGTGCAATGAATCTTATTGATCAAGATACTTCACTGTCGCTGGGTCAAAATCCTGGAATTCCCTCCCTAATGGGACTGTGGGTCAATCCACAGCAGGTGGACTGCATCAGTTCAAGAAGGTTGTTCACTGCTATCTTCTCAAGGGCAATTAGAGAAGGGCAAGAAATGTTGGCCAGTCAGCCACGCCCAGATCCCACAAAATTAAATTTAAAAATATAGTTCTAAGATACAGATGTACTCAGTTTTCTCAGGGGTAGATTACAAGGAGAGATGACAGAAAATAAACTTGCACCTCCCAAAATATTGATGGTCAAGGGTGATTTAACTAAGGCTTTTTGGATTTGATGTTAAATAATAGATTAAACAGAGGAAAAAATCTCTTTGTTTTGTATAGGAATCTAGCTCAAGGGGATTAGAAGTTAAAAATCAGAACCAGGCGATTCAAAAGAACAGTTACAAAACATTTCTTCCCCCAAAAAACAATAGCTGCTGGTTCAATTAAGAATCTTAAATCTGAGATTGATAGATTTTTCCTAGATGATTGTATAACTGGACATGGAGCCAAGGCAGACGTATGCAGTTAAGGCACAGTTCAATGATTTAATTGGCCACAGTGCAGTCTCAAGGAGCTAAATGACATAATCTTGTATCTATGCTTTAAATTTATCAATGCAATTTGGAAACAGAATTACTTGGTGACCTGGTTCTGAGGACATTCAAAACAAAAAGGATATGACTTCAGCATCTGGCAGGTAGCCACTCGAGAAGCTCGATAGGCGGATCTCACTGATCTGTACACTGCCTTCCGAAGGCCAGTTAGCTGCTGACCTTGCTGTTGCCAGGAGTTCCCCAGCTTACTGGCAGGACATGCAGCAGTCACTCTAGAAAACAAACAGTTAGCTCTAAATACTGCATAGATCTCTCTGCAAAGCTGGTTACGATTAAAATTTTGCTTGGATTCATTTCATGAACATACAATGAACCAATAACTGCAGCAAAAAAAAAACACATCAAACTCCATATGTAATTCATCATAGAAACTCATTGTCAAAGTTCTTAAGAAAAATTTTAGTACATAAGGATTAGGTTTTGTAGCTCCTAAAGCACATTTACACCATTTGAATTAAACCTGGTGGTATAAGTGCAGAAAAATGAGATTTAATTCTAAACATAGCTAAGATTAGCAAATCAGTGAAGGTCTATGAAAAAAGTAAATGTTTAAGTTGTTATTCAAGGTAGGCAAAGCATGACGTCAAATATTAAATAAAATGGTGAGGAAAGATGTTTTAATATTTTAACATAAGGCTTCAAATAATGTGTTTCTTTTTCTCTATTGATTTAATCAGACAATTTCATGCCAATAACTTCACACAAAGTCCCCAAGCTTGCAGGCTATCTCACTCAGTTATACAAAGACATTAGATTGCTTGAGGTTTATTACAGGATACTGTTTCAGCTTGTGGCAAGAACCCAATCAAGATGCTTAACAGGCAATATTCAGAAATCTGTGTATAGTTTATCTTAATAATTTGTTGCAATTGTAATCTTCTTTTTCTCTTGGCAATATGATTTAAAGCTCTTCTCCAGACCTCACAATGTATGCAGGCTGATTAATCAATTAAAAATCTTCTCTATGGTGATATTTATCTATACCTACATGCTCTGTAAAGTATTGTTGCTGCCCCATATGTTTATAATTACAATATTTTGAACTAACAAAATGTCACTACTTTCAATAGACTGAGGAACTTTAATAGAACAAAATGATAAATAAAATAACTTCAGTACGTAATGAAATATAAAGCAACATTTGTAAAAAATGACTCACAATGTGAATCCTCTTGAAATGACTTCTGTCTCTTGAATTTGTCTAATGGATTTTCGCACAAGACTGGTGAAAGTGTGGCTGTTCATCACTATATCTTCCAAACTTTTGTTGCATTTTCTCATGGATCGCTGGAGTTTGGCTGTTCTCCATAAACTGAAGCTCCTGAAAACCATACAAAGACCGAGGCCACACAGGCCCATTCCTACAAAGCCCCAAGGGAAAGTATCACAGCGGTCTGAGGTCATGACCAAGGCACTAGCAAGGATAGCCAATACTGAAACATCCCTAATATGCAAGAAGAGACACAAATTTAGTACCCTGGAAGTTTCCTCAAATATTTCTGGAAAATAAAACAATAAAATTGAACAGAGTAGTGGTAAATTCACAGGAGTATTAATTCAGAGCCCCAGACTAATGCTCTGGGGACAAGGATTTGAATTCAATAAAAAAAACCCTGGATAAAAAGTTAGTCTAAATGACTCCCATGTAATCACTGTCGATTATTATAAAAATCCACCTCGTTTTCTAATGTCCTTTTTGGAAAGGAAATCTGCTGTGTTTCCCTGGTCTGGCCAACCCATGACACCAGACCTACAGTAATGTGACTGACTCTAAACTGCCCTCTGGATGATTAGCGCTGAGTAATAAATGATGCCCATGTCCCATGAGTGAATTTTTTTAAAAATCCCAAAGACTGCAGTGGTTCAAGAGGGCAGATCACTACCACCTTCTGAATGGCAGTTTGGGATGGGTAATAAATGCTGGGCTAGCCAGCAACAGCCACATCCCATGAACAAATATGAATAAAATAAATATTCTAAAACAGTCACCAATTTTGACCCACTAGTAACTCGCCTGCATTTCCACCACTAGAAGACTGGATTATTTTTCTCCCCCCATCACGTTTCTCTCTGCAATCTCTCCTGAGGATATGGATCCCTCCTTGGGATGTTAGTCCTTTAATGATCATTTGTCCATGTAATAGTTCTACTCAGACAATATCAATAACAACTTGCAACTAGACAGCACCTTAATGTGGTGAACCAACTCAAGGCAGGTGTTAAGGAAAAGCCAAAAAACTATAGACTGGTGAGCCTGACATCAATAGTGGGGATTCTGAGGGACAGGATTTACATGTATTTGGAAAGGCAAGGATTGATTAGGGATAGTAAAGATGGTTATGTGTGTGGGAAATCGTGTCTCACTAACTTGATTGAGTTTTTTTTGAAGAAGTGACAAAGAAGATTGATGAAGGCAGAATGGTGGATGTTGTCTATATGGACTTTAGCAAGGCATGTGACAAGGTTCCTTATGGTAGACTGGTTTAGCAAGGTTAGATCACATGGAATCTGGTACAGCTAGCCTTTCGGACACAAATTGGCTTCAAGGTTGGAGACAGAGTGTGGTGGGAGAGGGTTGTTTTTCAGACTGGAGGCCTGTGACCAGCAGTGTGCCACAAGGATCAGTACTGGGTACACTGATTTTTGTCATTTATATAAATGATTTGGATGTGAGCATAGAAGGAATGCAAATGACACCAAAATTGATGGTGTAGTGGACATTGAAGAAAGTTATCAAGGGACATCAGATGGGTTGATGGGCTCAGGAGAGGCAAATAGAGTTTAATTTAGGTAAATGTGAGGTGTTGTATTTTGATAAGGCAAATTGAGAAGACTCTAGGAGCTCACTGAATGCTCAATGACCTGGATTTTAACTGGATAAGTCATTCACAAGCTCAGATGCAGCATGGCAAAAACAATCTTGTCTTCACCCAACATTCATACACAAGTAAAGTGACTGGGAGAACAGCAACCCTGCCTATACCACTCAGCACACCAAGAACAATTGCAATATCTCTGATTTGAATCAGATAAATCACTACAGATCAGATTTGAATCCAGCAAACATACTTAGTCTGAATGGTTCAGCTATACATTGTCATACTCAGCTGAGTCCACAAATATCCAAATGATGCTCAGTGGATTTAAGGAAGAAAGAGATTGGGATTGGGATTTTTAAAGAATTACACCTGAAAATGCAAAAGCAATGGGAAGAAAGTTGTTAAGTTTTATATATTGGGTCACTACATTCAAAAACAACAAGGTTTTCAATGTGCTGGAGACCCTGTTTATTGCAGACATGAGAGAAGAAGCACACCCTAGGTTCCTCAAGCTGATGCCTGGAACGAGAGGAACAGAAAAGACTGAATACACTGGGATACAGAAAGTTAAGGGATGTCTAGTAGAAATGTTTAAGCTTTTCAAAATGACAAAGTTATTTATAGCCAGTGGCTACTGAACTTGTATCAAGGATCAAATTGTTTTAACAGCATCCAATGGAAAGATTAGATCAACGTTTTCCAGGCATTAGAACATAAGCATATCTTTACACAAGTGACTACAGAATCTATTTAGGAGGGAATTAAGTACTTGAGAAAGAAAAGCTACAGTGAAAGAGTGGTGGACTTGGTGTTATGGTAAATGGCTCTTATGGAGCTAGCACCAGCATGGATAAACTGCCCTTATTTGTGCTTAAATTCTTTTGTTCTATAATTCCAGCAAGGAATGACATGCAAGAGATTGATATATCGCAAGGAAGAGGTTTAGTAATTGATCATCAGCTTCTTCTCATGCACCTACCAGCAAACTGTATAATCTCATGAGTTGATGCTTTGCACATAGACATGACATTTGACATGAGGTGTACTATTAATTGAAGCTGCTCAGCTTATTCTTTACTAATAATGTATTTTAAAATATTCACTCATTGGAGTCAAAACCTCTGGAGCAAGTTACTGTTTTGACAAAATTAAGTTTACAAATTTACTATTGTCTATTTTCAAGATTTTTGCCACACATCTTAAACACCCCATTTTGTACATGCAACAGTATGTATTCTGGTCAATAGAAAATATTTAGAAAAAGAAGGGCACACAGACTAATAAAGTTTGCACTTCAGAACAAAAGGATTGATACAGAATAAATAGAGATTAAATAAAGAATTTTAAGTGGACACTCTTTGCAGAGACGAGTGGCAATGTGGAGTTCACTGCCATATGTAGTTGTTGAAGAGGGAGACATTGGTGCATTTATTGGAAGTTTTGTTGCAGTCATGAGGGTCTGAGAATAGAGGAGACACAGGGTCAGGATAAGGTAATTGGAGGAAACTCACATGTAGTAATAAACATCAGCAGAAGGCCATTGGGCTTAATGGTCTATTTCTATCATGTAGATTCTGTGCAGTACAGGGGGAATTGACTTACCTCATGGTCTAGTATGAAGCCATGCAGGCCAGAAGATCCAAAGTTCAATCCTGTCCTACAGCGAATTTGCTGATCCTGTATAGGGCTACAATTGTCCTTAAATATTAACAAAGGGAGGCGAATCCCGGTAAAGTGCAACTTATGTTGCTGCCAGTGAGGAGCGGACTGGAGGCTGGTGTGATGCAGGATAGTTGTTAGCCTTAGATAGTTGTTAGACCACGTGCTGAGCTGCTGCTGTTTGGTACTCTTACCGAACTGTAATGTAAATCCTTACCTTTTAATCCTCTTTTGTACAACGACATTTTTTTTTACTCTAAGATTTGTACCTAGGTATTTGTACCTAAGATGGCACTATTAAAAGGCAGCCATTGTAAAAACTTTTCACTGCACTCCTGTCCTTCTGTACTGGAGTAGAAGTGACAATAAAAGATATTCTATTCTATTCTATAAATTCAGCCTAGTTTACTAGTTCTGACAGCTACTGACTGGAAACTGCACATATCAGGAATTGGGGTAAGAGCAGGGACAGGTTCAGTTGCTGTATTTTCCAAGGTTGTACATTCTCTCAAATGTTACCATTGAAGATAAAGAATGGCCTTTAGGTTGAAGCTTAGAGAGATGCTGATTAATGGAATTTTATTCCACAAGAGTCGATGCAATCAGAAGGACAGAAAAAGGGCCAGGAAATAAATAGTATAAATAGAAACTCAAAATGGTAGACCTTAAGTCTGAAACAGCACTTTCTTCCAAGTCTGTGGCAGTGGAATACCATTTAGAGCTGAACTGGGAGAGACTGTTCAGAACAGGGTGGAAGGGAAACATACACCAAACAGAGTTGCAGGAGGTAGGGTGCCACGGTACCTAGCGGTGATCATCAATGGGTCCTAGGGATGGCTGCAGGGATGCCTGTCTGGGCATTAAGATGGGAAACCGATTTGCAGAAGTTTAGTAAACTGAAAGATAAACCCTGAATCATTGCAGGCTTGGAGAGGGGATATGGGTAGAGCTGAGCAGGATAAAATGCAAGGTGAATGAACCAACTTCAATAAACAGTGCTACAGAATCTTTCACATGAATCACTGAAACAGTTGATATCACGTCAGGTTAATATTTGACTTAAAGAATTGGCAGGCCAATTAAGTCACCCACACCTCACAATCTAAGTGGTGATGCAGTTTCACAGCATATGGAGTTTTGAGAAAATCTGCTGGGATTTAAGATTTATTCTCAATCTAAGCTTTTCAGCTACTGACTAAAATGATATAGTTTTTCTCTTTGACAGGTATGCCTTACTAACACAATTAATGAGAAAACAAATATCTAAAACTGGAAGGGAATTCAAGATGACGACCATCTCAATAAAGCATTCTCGCAATAAAAGAGTAAACCTGAGAAAGACCTGAGCAAATGAACCTATATGATGTAGCTCCCAGATGGATCAAATGTGACACCTCCCACAAATGGAGCCAAGCTGGGACACCTATGAATCTTTCTATAGCCTACAGCACCAGAGATGCTTGGAAGCAGAGACCCAATTCAGCATGTCTCCATGAAACTGAGATGGCAATAGCCTCCAAATCCAGTAGGGGCTCACTTCTGAACAGAATGACTAGCAGCTTAAGGATTTAGGGTCCTATAGCCATATGCAGTAACAAACACCAACTGAGGGCAGTTATTCCAAATGGTCTGTTTCTGTTATGTAGATTTTCTGTAACACAGCTTTGGAAACAGTCCATCACAAGGTAAAAACCAGAAGGAAAGCAGCTGGAAACGAACTCAAATACTCTAAGTGGCTGAATGTGTGATATTCAAATTAGGGTCTGCCTCAGAAAGGACACATTGTTTGTCCTTGAGAAAGCTGTTCTTCTACAGATAGCTAATACTAAAATTGTTTTATTTGAAACAAAAGACTGTTAGAAAGTGTAAGAAAAGTATTATAGGAAACATACCAAATATTAGGACATCTCCACAACCACTTGGATGGCAGGTAGCCATTTTTGGGCTGTTGGGCTTGTGTTGATTGCAGGATGCTGGGGTCAAGTAGGTCAACCAGCTCCACATCCTCCTGCAGAAGCACTTCCTGTTTTAGGATGGTGCTCAGAGAGCGCAGTCGAAATCCCATATCCTTGTTAAGAGGTGAGGAAATAATGGGGGACTATTTTTGTAAATTACATACTGGATGTGAAACACGTAGAAACAGTGTAAAGCAGGTAGTTTTGAGACAATCAATGTCTATTTTAAATAGATATTTCAGATTTTTATTCAGTAAACAAAAATTTGTTGTCATTAGTCATTTGTATGGAAGTAACACTACAAAATAACGGCATCTTAGTAGCAGGCTCACTAATTTCTGGAAGCGAAATGCATAGAAGATGAAGTACATCTCATGAGTATAAAGAAGTCTTTAAGGGTTCAAATAAGATCATAAACAAGGAGTAGAACTAGAAGACTTTTAAAATGTAATTTAAATTTCAAGGCTATATATACTGGGTACACACTGAAAATTATCCACTGTCTTGCGCACCATGACTCCTGACATTACCACACACTACATCTATATAATGCCTTTAACACAGTTGGTGTTGGATAAAGTTCAGCTTTTGAAATTCAGTTCAAAATCAAGTAGGTCTTAAGACATTACACAATATCAGTTTCAAAGTGAGTGTCTACAGCATGAAGCTTCTGGCAAGAACCAAATAATCAGTTTGGTCTTGGCAATGTTGAGTTGGAATAAGTTCTACATTATCTATGATTTATCATAATCCAAGATGATAACAGAACATTAGTAATAATTTGGTTGTACCAGAGAGGGGCCGAGCAGAGTTGTTAGCATACAAAAGAAAGCTGATTTGGTACCTAGAAACAAAGTCCTAGAACATGCTGTAGAAGCAGCAGTTTAATTAGACACCCAAGTAGAAAACGCATTTGACCCAAGGTATCTATCAAAATAAATGCTAATCTTCTTGAGGCTTCCAACGTTTCAGAATTAAAAATAATAATGAATTGGATGTTTATATTCAGAGATTCTCTTGGGATGCAGTTGTGCTGCTCATTTAGTAAGCATCTATTCAGGTGTGTGTCTGAACTATTGAATAATCAAGGACAGAATTGCATAATGCAGAGGTGTGACACAAGATGCTCCTTGAGATTGAAACTGGACAGTCTTACAAGAAAGTGCTTCTTCAATCTTTTCAACGGTCATCTGAGAAGCACCTTTGTGAGATTAGACAACTAAATTTGCCGAACTCCTCTGCTTTATAGCTAACAAACTCACTCAAACTGTTCAGGTTCAGACTTCCAATTTTGATCAGCTCCAGGCTTAAGATAAGCTGCTTTTCCTTCATTAATCCAGGTTTCCTTCCCACAAAACTAGCTGGCTGACTGCCATCAGTGTTGTTATGAAGTGAGTGTTCACCGGAAGTGGAAGGGCAAGGCTCTGATTACTTGCCTGTTCAGGGATTAACCAGGACATAGAACATAGAACATTACAGCGCAGTACAGGCCCTTCGGCCCTCCATGTTGTGCCGACCTGTGAAACCAATCTGAAGCCCATCTAACCTAAACTATTCCATTATCATCCATATGTTTATCCAATGACCATTTAAATGCCCTTAAAGTTGGCGAGTCAACTATTTTTGCAGGCAAGACATTCCACGCCCTTACTACTCTGAGTAAAGAACCTACCTCTGACATCTGTCCTATATCTATCACCCCTCAATTTAAAACTATGTCCCCTCGTGCTAGCCATCACCATCCGAGGAAAAAGGCTCCCACTGTCCACCCTATCTAATCCTCTGATCATCTTGTATGTCTCTATCAAGTCACCTCTTAACCTTCTTCTCTCTAACGAAAACAGCCTCAAGACCCTCAGCCTTTCCTCATAAGACCTTCCCTCCATACCAGGCAACATCCTGGTAAATCTCCTCTGCACCCTTTCCAATGCTTCCACATCCTTCCTATAATGCGGTGACCAGAACTGTACGCAATACTCCAAGTGCGGCCGCACCAGAGTTTTGTACAGCTGCAACATGACCTCATGGCTCCGAAACTCAATCCCTCTACCAATAAAACCTAACATACTGTACGCCTTCTTAACAACGCTATCAACCTGGGTGGCAACTTTCAGTGATCTATGCACATGGACACCGAGATCTTTCTGCGCATCCACACTACCAAGAATCTTACCTCTCAAGGAGCTCTCAACTACACAGACTACCACCCTGTTTGATTCCAAGAACATAATTCTCAGTAGACACCACATATAGGACTGAAATTAAGAGACCTGTTATAAGTCTAATTATTTCAAGAGGCAGTCAGAGATGAGAGGGGTGATTAACCTACTCTACTTGGTGGGAAATGGACAGTAATCTGACCATCTGCCTTTCGCACTCACAATTCAATTTTACTTTCTGTAAAATTCAATGTAAAATGAAATGAAGTAGTGCATAAAACCAGGTCAACTACCTGTTTTATCAGCTTCACAAGCTAGGCCAGAATGGTTTTTGAATGCAGCAGTTTATTTTACTATGGAATCGACTCAGTGAGAACTCCAGTTGCCTTTAACTATGAAGGTGTAAAATTTTAATCAGTGCCTTAAAATGAAATATTTTGAACAGAACTTCAATAAGCAAACCAATCAAATGCATCTGGTAGGATGAGGGGGAACCAAAATATTAATTTAAAATATTTGTTTACTTACCAATATGTAGCAGATGAGCTGAGAGAGCTGATTTGTACTCTCAAGACAAGTAACAAGTCCCATAGAGGTTTTCTAAAGTTAACAGTTTGCAATGAAGGGAGACGCAAAATTCATTCTTAAGGTGCTTTATAGCCTCTGGATTCAATAGCAAGTTCAACAAACTCAGACCATGAACTCTGTCCTCCATTGTGTTTCCCTTGCCCAACTCCCTTCCCCTGCCCAGTGTTTTGCTTTTATTAAGAGCCAACCGATATTCTGCTATGGACACCTACCTAGACCCGTCTCTGTTCCCTGGAACAATTAATATTCCCTTTAATTTTTGTTCTCTGGTACCTGTGATCTCAAATCTCTCTTGTCCTCTAACCTTTCCCTGATCCTTCTGTTTCACTTGCCCCCTACCCAGCTTTTCTCTACAGTATAAAACCCATCACTTTTACACCTTTCTCTTCAGTTCCTAGAAGAGTCATATTGGACTTTGTCTCTCCATAGATGCTGCCATACTTGCTGATTTTCTTCAGTCTTTTCTGTTTTTATTTCAGATTTCTAGAACGCATGATGTTTTGCTTTTACAATATCTGTACATTATGTCTAGTTCACACAAAAAGGTTGCTTGTAAATAATTAAATCAATTTAATTAAGCTTCTCAGTTTTAAGGCATCTAACATTCATCACAGACTTGCCCTATATCAAACGTGGTTTGGGATATAACAGCGATATTCCTTCAGGCACAAACTATATGCAGTCCTCACAAGCACTTCTCCAATCTTTTCGCTGGTGGACTGAGAAACACTTTGGCAAGATCAGGTCAAGTACAATTCATTGAACTGCTTGGTTTTATAGCTAGCAAGCTCAAACCCCTTTGTGGCTTTGAGTTTAAAAAGTTCTTGAATGCATCAAAGGTAATTTTCTGACAAATAGCTTGGTGGTCCCCTCCCTCTCTCCCTACCTTTCCCTCAATTCTGTTGTCACTGCAGTTGCCCCAGTGGTATTTTTATGTAAATTGGTGTTCAATTCAGAAACAGGGGGTTTGGTGGTGGGGAAAAAATGTTCAATGGTGCATAGAAGCATCTCTGGGTATATATAAAGTAAAAAGAAAGGAAAAAAATTACATTTCAGGATGGAAAAGCTTGCGATGAAGTTGCAAGTTTGTAATGTGGAAACTTACCAGTGATTCCAAATCTATTCTTTTCATTCCAGTGAATGGATTCCATTTTTGAAGAACATTAATACACTTTAGCAAAAGGTTTTCCTGCATTATGATAGAAAACGGCATTTAAGGTATTGATCAGAATTCCAGACAGATAACATATAAATAAGGCAAGAAAAATCTAACAAATGCTTAAATGAGCTGCACTAATGAAGTTAATCTCTGTTCATTAAACTGCAACTTACAAGGCAGATTTTTTACAAGAAACTTTTCTTTGCCGTTTTACTCTCACTCACTTTTAATGCATCCTATCTTGATTAATCCTGTACAATAACCCTTCCCTCATCATTATGTCAAGTTGCCTCTGTTTCTGGGGTTGCAAAATATTTGCTGAATATTAAAATTTTCCTTAACCCTATTCCATTTTTCTCTAACCTCCTTTGAATTGATTTATAAAGTTGTCCGGAGATATCTGTAATTTTTAGGAGAGGTGAGCATAGTTTTCAACTCAAGTGTGTGATTCATATGTCTTTATCAATCTTTATGTCTGTCTTTCACCAACAACTTGCATTTATATTGTACCTTGGTATAACAAAATCCCACTAAGAACTTCACAGGAGCCATACATTGCAAATTTAATTCAGCGCCACCTAATGCAATACAACATCCCGTGTTTAAAGTACAATCTTACAGTTTACATTGGTTTTACTATTCCCTACATTGACCTTGTTCGCTATGCACAATTTACGTTAACACTCGGTTCCCTTCCATCCCACTCTGCTTGTATTTACTTATGTTGCAACATTGTTCCAGTGCCTCCAATTTCCACTTTGAATTTCTAAATCTCCCTTCACCCATAACCCTCTCAGCCTCCCCTGCTTCAGTTAATTTAAAGACCTGTCCACAGATCAAGGTACATGATATCCAAAACACTGGGGGTCCCAGCCTGGTTTCAGCTGAAAGTTTTTAGATGACCCTGAGTTTATAGAAGGGTTTCATCCCATTGTCACTCAGATTTCATGGATGGCAGGAGAGGCCTGCATCCAAAGTATGGTCCAACCAGTTAGTCTCTGCAGACTACTAGCCAGTGAAGGGAGTCAGGAAGGGGTTTTAGCTTTCCAGGTCCCTGGTGCCAATCAGAGGCATCCATTGATACAGATTTCTCTCTCTCTTCTCATTCCTCTCTCACACCTTTTCCCCAGGTTGTTTCTAACCATCCATTCCATCTATGCCTGTCTGAACTTTGTATGCCTCAAACAGATCACCTCCCAGTCAGCTTTCTCTGTCTAAGTAAAACAATCCCAGACTATTAAACTTCTCTTCATGGTGGAATTATTCCAACACAGGGAACAATCTGGTGAATCTCATCTGCACCATCTCGAGTACAATCATATTCTTCCAAGAGTGTGGTGATTCGGACTTCACACAATACTTCAGATATGCCATAACTAACATTATGAACAGTTCCAGCATAACTTCCTTCTCTTGTGTTGTGCTTTGACTAATAAAAATAAATACTGCATATGCTTTCTTAATCACCTTATCTACCTGTCCTGCTGCCATCAAGGATCCATGGACATGCACACCAAGATCCTTCTGATCCTTTGTACTTCTGAGGGTCCTACCATATGCTCAAATCTCAGGAACGGGAATGAATCCCCAACTCACTGATTCAGATATGAATGTGTTCCCCACTGAATATGGGAGATCAACCAAGTTCTGTTAGAACTGAGGTGACAAAGGAATGAATGAGGGCTTCAGCAGTAAATAAGCTGAGGCAGGGGGTGCAGTCAGGTGACATAATAGAAATGAAGATGTGCATTCTTAGTAATGGCATCTAAGTGCGGCGCGAAGCTTATCTTGGGGTCAGAATGATGCCAAGGTTATGAACCATTCAGTTCAGCCTAATAGAGGTACCAAGGGGAGGGATGGAGTTGGCAGCTAGAGAACAGCGTTTTTAGTAGTGACCCAAGTTAGTCATTTTGGTCTTCACAATATTTAATTGGAGGAAGTTTTGCTCATCCAATGCTGGTAAGGTAGAGCTGCGCATCATCTGTAGGGGCGCATCATCTGTAGGGATGCAAAATCTAACGTGTTTTTGGAGGATGTTGTTAAGTTCAGGCTCAGTAGGAAGTAAGGCTTACTCCTCAGCATAACCTCAATTTTGAGGCTGAGAGAAGGTCATGGGTGATAGGGACAGGTCATCAGATTGGGGCATTGGGAGTGAAGAGGTTGCATTGCGGAGACTAAGGCACCTCCCTGAAGGGTCATCTCTCCACATCTGTGCACAAGCTTCTCTGCACTCCACAAGATCAGCCCCACGCACCCCTAACCCATGAGTTTTCCTTTTGCCACTGCACCCTCCATCAACACCGCTGTCTCATTCTTCACAGACACTCAGGCCTCACCATCAGCCATACTACTTTAACATTTTGTTCCTATACAGACACTTTTTGTGCCATCTAACTTAATGTGATTGGAAGTGTTGAATATATGGCTCATTCTTAGTTAATCCAAGCTTTTTCTTTAACATTGCAACCAATGTCTAACTTTATTTCTTTATTTTTTTTACTTTATACTAAGAAGAACTGTACTGATGATTTTGTAAAACTTATTTCTTTATGTATCTATTTTTGTACCTAGGAACCCTTTGTACCTAAGATGGCACCGGGAATAGTGACATTGTACACTTTTCACTATAACTCCTGTACCACTGTACTAGAGTACACGTGACAATAAAACCTAAACCTAAAGTTTGTGGTCACAAGGATACTTCTAATTCACTTTCATTTTTTGCTTTAATTTCTTCTGTGGAACCTTGTCAAATGCCTTCTGAAAATGTATTCAGGCAACATTGATAGCTAATTCCTTACCCACTGTATTAGGGACCTTCTCTAACCATTGACTGCAACAATCGGAAATGATTTACCCCTCAGTAATTGATTCAGCGTTGATTCAGCTTTGTCTAATCCAAGTCTTCAGTTACTCTGTCACCATTAACAGACTCAAGTAATTTCTCTACAACTGATGTTAAACTGCGTGGTCTATAATCATCTGTGTTTTCAGTCTCTCATTTCTTAAGCAATGGAATTACGTTTTCAAATTTCCAATTCAAGGTCAATTTCTAAATTTGAAGCTCTTTGGAAGATTATGATGGACACAACTGTACCATCATCACCTATTTTTTAAAGATTCTGTGAAGGAGATCAACAGATTCTAGAGATTCATCTATTGCAAGCCACATTAGTTTTACTATAATTTTTTTATTCACATTAAATCCAGAGATCTCCCCATCTTCGACTTATTTTTGAATTTCTCATTCCACTGGCATTTTATGCTCTACTTGCACCTCTTGTGCAAATCTGTCATTTCCTCATTGTCCACTGTAGTCTCACTTCTTCAGATCTTTCTCGCTTTCTTCCATATATTTACCAAATTTCTTGCTATTATTTTTAAAAACCCTTGCAAATATGTTCTATTCTGTTTGTACTTCATTCCTCTTTTGTTAACATCTTTTTTGCATTTAAAATCTCTTCCTGGTCTTTTCCTTTAGCTTGATATTGGCTCTTACCTCGTGTGTTGATCTTAGTTCCTTCATGGCACAAGTGAAGCACTAGTCATTTAAGGACATATACTAGAGTTGTACTGCATGAATTATTTATTTCAATATTTCCCATTGTTTGATGGGTGCAGCAAATAGCAGAAAATCAGAGGAGAGGACTGTATGTTTGGAAAGGGGCCCATTCAATTAAATTCCTTAACTCTCTACTTTGTACTATAGATCCTAGGATCTTCCTCACAGATGCTGGGTCTTCAGCAATGCTCAGAAGCTCCTAAACCATATTTAAAGTGCTCCTTGATCAAGAAATAGCTACCTTCTCAATGTCCCCTGAACTGACGATCCCTCTCTCCAATCCCAGCACCTGTTCCAGTGTTTAGAGCAGATTGATGGCAACCACCCCACTACTCAGTAAAATTCCTTTCAGTGGCACTCGTCAAAGTATTGCTAAAAACCCGTCAAATTCTGACCGTCTCCGGTATCAGTCCCAGTAGCTTTGACAATATCAATCAAACGTTGCTGCAGATATCCTGAAGCATATCAAACAATAACAGCCTACCTTTGAGCCAAAAAGCCTGGGTTCAAGTCCCAGCTGCTCCAGAGGTGTGTCATAACACACCTGAACAGACCGATCAAAAATATCTATAAAACAATTGTAGGATACCAGTAAGTACCTTGCTTAAATCTTTCTGGTTTAACCAATCAAACATTGATTTACCTCTAACTCCAGCTTGAGATCTGAATCTGGCAATAATTGGGTCCTTGACCACAAAGTTCAACCTAGAATCTATCAAAAACTATAGTTGTTTATTACCTCCCTTTTTTTAATTCACTGAATTATTTCATTCTGCTGATAATTGTTGAGGGATGGGGAGTAGTGTGGGGAATAAAGTACTGCACATAACCAAGAACACTAAACAATATTTCTGTTTTAACTTCCAGGCTGAATGCATACCATATGTCTTATACTGGGACAGTTACAAATCTTGCTGATCAAGCTCTAGCTTGCTCGATTACATTTTTCTGTCAATTCATAAAGCTACTTCTGAGTCATTCATTATTACTGGAATATCCCCATTCATTTGATGGGGATATAGTGACATAGTGGTAATGTCACTGGCAGGTAAGCCGTAGGCTCAGACTAATGCCAAGGGATAGATGTTCAAATCGTATCACATCAGCTAATGCAATTTATATCAATTAATAAATCTGAACCAGAAAGTTATCTAGTTCATCATTGCATTTTCAGCCATCCAGCCTACACGTAATCCAAGTTCCATAGAAATATGGTTGACTCTTAACTGCCCTCTGAAATGGCCTACATTCCATGACACAAATAGAAAAAAATCTCTTGTATTTGTATGATTAGCGTAAACATGTCACAGAATGCCATTTTAATAAATAATTCTCATTTTCTAAATTGACTATTGAGTTTTTGTAAATAGTTGTTCTGAATTCACAAGTTCTGTAATATGTATACTCTAATCAGTCAAATTATATGGTCTACATCACATGGAAATATTGTCTTTACGTAGTCCACTGA